GGAGGGTTTCCCGGTGAAAAATCGCGGATGCACCGAGCGATACATATTTCATGCGCTACTTCACGATGAAATGAAAAACCCCGCTCGCTTTCTTCGTTGCACTCGCCGCCCGTTGACACCTCTCCCCTCCCTCCTCCCCCCCCTGGAAGCGGAGTTTCACGCTCGTAATTAGGCAGACGGCGAACTCGGGGATCTCCCCTGATTTCAGCGAATTCTTAAATTGCTTGGATTAAGTTCTGCGGAGGTATCATCGAGCGGGATACATTCCGTATTAATAAAATAAAAGTGCGATTAGTGCGGAAAGTTAATACAGTCACCGGAAGCTAATTTCATTTGCCGCGCTCATAAATTCAGTTTTGAAATTTATCTTAATACGTTTTAAGATAAGGTCAGGTCAATTCACATTGGAGCTACTACGCGTACGATAAATAAACTATTTTCTTTTGTTTATAATATATTCCGGTTAATTGATATCGAAATATTTCAATTGGTATATTTACAGTATGCAATTTGCAATTGGATTGCGTTGAAATTCGACCACTTATCGAAGAATGGCCATTATTTTGTAACTGCAGAACGGAATTATTTGAGGGTTGTCGAGGATCGTTTGTATTCTCGCTGAATCGTTGGATTTTTCAAGGCAAGCTACCGTTGTAACTCTCTGAAGCTGAGAGCTTCTTTTTCTCGTCTATTTCCCAGCGGTTACGGTAATGGCAAGTATCGCTTCTTGCTTTCTGCCAGCACGTTTCAGCTGTTCTTTTGTTCGTTAATTCTCATCGCGTTTCGAAAACGTATCGGTTTCCGTTGATGAAAATCACATTAAATCAGTCATCTATGGATCTTCTTAATAAAACACTCTTCTATTAATCTCTATGTATGTTTCGCACGCTGATAGATCCCAGATTGTTAATGATTCGGATGGGAACGTTACAGATCCGACACGAAGCGAATCGAAAAATATAGCATCGTTATCCACTCGTACCTCTCAAAGAGCTTAATTTGTCAAAGCCTCTTTCTTTGTTAGTAACTCGTAAGAATTTTTTACAACTTGAATATTTGATTAAAATAATAAAAATAATAAAATAAGTAAACTGAAATAATAATAATAATACATAATAAAAGTCATAAAATTAGAACTATTATTATTATTATTATTATTATTAACATAAGATACATCTCTTTTTCTTTTCTGATAAAAATTTACTAACAAAAACTTCCAATTTCGCGATATACTTTTAAATAAATACATCACATTGAAAATTTTGTTAATGTCGGGTTGCAGCCCCGTAAGAATGTACAATGGTGGACTTAAATTCTGATTCTGCGGAAAGATCTGTTCGTTCAATTACGGTATTCTCTTAACGTGTTACAGCAAGCGAGCACAGAACCGCGCAGGGAATTTCACGTACGACAAATTGTTCGGCTAATGACCCGATCGTTCATTTAATTGTTACGGGCCGGTACATTCACAGCGATTGTACGTGAAATTGTTTCTCGTGCGTCCGCAATTGAACGATCCGCCGCGAAACATAGGAGAAACATTATATCGGGGCCTGCGACAAACGACCGACGCGATAGTCCGCGGTTAGCATTTACATCGGCGTTTGTGACTCTGGTCGAATAATCCCGGAACCCGTTGTCGTCAGACATAGTCCGAAATAGTCAGATAATCGGCTGAACTAAACCCGAAACTGTCCGCCGATATCCGACTTACTCAACTGTAATATCGATTGTGTCTATTAAATAATTCATATTCCTCTCTTAAAATTTACTTCTCTGTGAGTGTTAAATAATTTTATTGGAATCAGCTAGTGATTAATTAATTTATTTATTTTATTTTATAATAGAGCTCCGGTTGCGCGTCTTGATGTATTTAAAATTAAATAATTAATACATGTATAAAAAGAGTTGTAATTAATATGGAGGTAAAATGTCTATTCAAACATCTTATTGAAAATTACGCGGCCACCTAAAGCAGTATTGATCTTTTCTCCGGAAACGCTATGTACGGACCGAATATCTACCGAAGAGAGTCTGCGGTTTAATGACGTTGCAGTAGAATGTACGTTTTACAAGAGAGAGAGAAAGAGAAGAGAGAGAGAGAGAGAGAGAGAGAGAAAATGTACAGTGGTGTTTAAACACCAAGTACCAAAGGCGAAACTGCTCTGTAGTTCCGTGGAAGCGCCCAGCGGTTTTCGTTCACCGCTCGTTTCCATTCGGGGAAATTTATCGTCGCGATTCCGACAGCTCATGACCATGAAAAGGGCGCGAATGCGATCGTTGTCGAAGCGTTCGCGCCGAAGGGAAAGGGATGAGATGCCTCTGGGAACGCAACAAGTCCACGAGATTTCTTCTTCTTCTTCTTCTTCTTCTTCTTCTTCTTCTTCTTTTTCTCGTTATTCTTTTGTGTCGTTGGAACTTGGCCAATGATGGCCCCCTCGACGACCACTCTCGTTTCGCCTTCTTTAGTTCCTCAATATATTCCTGTCTCTGAGGCTTTCTTGATAACGCTTGATTACCAGCTTGACGCTCTCTATTGTACACCGTAATTGATTGAGTCTCTCGCGAGATCTATTAGATGTCTTGTCTCCGAAGACAAAGGGTGCATGTAATTTTTATCTAGGAAATGGTATTAATAAGAGCAGGATTACTTGAAAGATACTTATGCTTTATCCTAATAATGTAAATATTTCGAATGTTCTTAATATGCATGCTATTAATTAAAAGTACATGAAGGATCTGTTATTTAATTCTTTTTTATAAAGAAGAAATTTTTTATCCGAGAAATAGATTTCTTTCATTCTGGCAACTTGTGGCATAATGCTAATGGCAAAGCCGCAATTAGAAATTCTCACGACAGCGCGTCGTTAAGTGGCAGAGCTTACTGAAAACCGCTTACATGCACAGGGTAACTTTGGAAAGCCATTCATACTGCTTTCGACCGCATTAAGACTGCAAATTTCAAAGAGCTTCGTTTGTGCTTCCGCTGATGCCGGCGCGCCATAATGATCAGCCATCTTAATTCGCGAAGCGTTCGGGTTTGATCGCATCCTGTGAGGCATCTCAGCGTTTTCTTCAGGATGCAACCTGCATTTCTGAAGAAATGGAATTGTAAGACTCTGCTTTCTCGATGATGCTGCTTCTCGCGTGCTTTCCGTTATAAAATCCGTTTTTAATTTAATTTATCGTGTCAGTCTCCTTTCGAATAACAATCCTTCTTGAATAATTTCTTCATTTTCCTACGTCAATAAATCAATATTCCAGCAAACCGAATGCAATAATGATTTCGAATTATGCATCGCGGAAGTGGATCGACTTGATACGTGTTAATAACATATATTAATGTAATATTAGTGTTGTTACGTTGATCGTGGACGGAAAGTCTTTACTATTAACAACTAATTTTGATGTAAATTTTACCCACGCACTTATAAATGATTTAACGACGCGCAAATTAATTCTATATTTTTTTTTAATAACCCAGAGCATTGCTTAGAAATTGAATCCACTAATTGGCAGATATATCAAATTTTAATTAACATAATAATAATGCTATCGGATACATATCGGATACAAATTGTTCAAGGCTTCTAATTAATCCAATACATTCCAAGTTACATTGAGTTTCTTCGAAACGAACTCGACGATGAAGTTGTTAACTCGATCGAGAGATTCGAGTTGTTAACAACTCACGGCGAGCGTTATTGATTTCCTTCGATCGAGATCAAGAAGATTAAGAATCACGCTTGACCCGGGCGCGTTTGCACCATCGACATTCGTAATCACGAGAGCTATATTATATCATCAACCTATCCCCATACAGAATTGTGCGTCAGTCTGAACACGGGGCAATCGTTTATTATTCTGTAAGAAGGATTCCGCAGTCGTTTATGTGAATTAGCGTTTCTGGAAATTGCACGGACATTCCGTGAAATTTCATTGATCGCCGTTAGAGAACACCATTTCAATTTTGTAGGCGACGCGGCCGTAATTTTACTTTAATGCTTGTAATTTGCATATGTACCTAGCATCGTGATTTCAATCAAAATTATCATTCAACGAGGATGACCAAAAGCATAATAAATATATGCATACAGATATCTTAGGAACTTCAAATCTGGTATAAAAATCTCTAAATATAAATTCTAAAAATACCATGAAATTTTTTTGTCTTGATAAAAGAGATATTCTTTGTATAATATTAGGTCTCTTATATTAGAGACCTAATGAAAAGATCTAACAAACAAATCTGATTTATATCGCTTGTATCTTTCGATAAAAAGCGCCTTAATTAAAATATCGCGAAAAGAAAATCTGCACCGTGTAACATTGAGATTTTTATAAATCGCATTTTCCTTTACCTTTGCTCATCTTTTTAATTTCGTCTGGAGAAATAACATTTTACTTATCCACCAGGTTACTTCTAATGCGACGCTGCGAAAGAAATACGACTCTACGTGTCCTGGGCGTTTCTCTGTTTCGCAATTTCAGTGATTCGTGCCGCGACTCCGAAGGCGACGTCGCGCAAAGTCGCGTTCGCAAAACTTCTGAATAGCGGAAAAGCGACATCGGACGATATCGCCGCAGCATGTAAAGGGCTTTTGGCACGTCTTCCACAAAACGTGTAATGAGATTCGTGCTAACCAAACGTTGCAAACAAGTTTATTAATATTGCACATCGAAACTTTTATCTCGCCGCGGTTTATTCGTTTCACTTTGGCGTGCGTTGGCTCAGTCGACAACTTCGCGAAAATTGCAAGCGGTCAAATCAAAACTTTCGTGCAGCCTTGGCCAAAAAACTTCCGTGTTTTAAAGTAATCTTAGTTATATTTCAAATGTGTAAAATTTGATCAAGGCGTATTTAAATACTAGAAATGAAAAGATATATATATAAGTAAGACGATAGACAAGATTTCAAATTTGTAATTTTAAAGATTAGATGCGCAATCAGCGTACATCTCTCAATTTTTATTATTTGCATTTTTGTTATCTGTTCACAGGCAAAATTCCGCGTAATGGTGGAGGAGAACGCAGCGACCGGCGCCCGGCTGGACGGCGAGCTGGAACGCGCTAGGGGCGAGTGCGCCACTCTTCGGGGCGAACTACGCGATGTTCGTGGCGCTTTGCCGATTGTACTGAATAATAATAATGCCGCCAATGGCAGCGCTAACAGTAACAATAATTCCGGTACAGCAACCAATGTTTCCGGCGGTAACTCGAATCCCGGCCAGGAAGCCGAGGCTCAGCAGGCGCAACAGGAAGACGGCAAGCGACTTAGCGCCGGTAGCAGTCCGATCGAAAAGAGAAGCTCGGCTAGTGATAAATCCGCCAGTCCCATCGAGAAACGAACCAGTCCGGTGGACAGAAAAGATAGAACCAGCCCCATCGATCGACGCGCTAGCCCTATAGGTCTGTGGCAAAATAAATTCTTGTCTTTTTTCATTTTTAATGTTTTCTTTTACATCGGGGTGTCTACTATTTCTGAAAAAAACCTGCAAAACCTGGATTTATTTTTTCAGGAAATTTTCTTGAAATTGCTTTTTTTTAATATTTTATCTTTATACTATCATAAGGAGTTTATCGACTGAACGATATCAATAAATTCATCCACTCTAAACCAGAACATTGATTTTATGACTGGTAATCCAATTCAATTGAAGATAACGATTTTATATTAGGTGCAATTTTGTTTAATGAAGACGGATATTTATTTTAATAAAAGTTATAATTTTTATAATTTTTTGTTTGTAACTTTAAAAAATGAAGTTTGAAAAGTTTATGCAATATAAATATATATTTATTTTTTAAAGTCTCTATAGGTTTTTTTCAAAATCTTTCACATTTAATCATTGGAACTTAAATAATTTTTAATTTTGTTTTATGATTTATAAATCTTTACTGTATGAATAAAAAAATATATTAAGAACTTTACACAATATATATATATTTATTTGTAAAATATATTTACAAATACTGTTATTTTGCCTGAAATTTTTAACAAATTGCTTTGAAAATCAAGAAATTCTCAGGGAATTTTTTTTTTGTTTGAGTAGACCTCACCTTGTATATATTTATGTACATGTACATTTTATATATCTTTATTACATATATTCTTAAAATTGGAATATTTAAATTGAGTAAATTTACTGAAAATGAGCAGTCAGCTTGAAGTGCAATTACAACCATAAGAAGTTGTTTGCTTTAAATAAAAAAATATTCTCGTACAAAACCTCTCGTCTAAAGAAGGAACGAGATTTCAGGAGAGCTTCACGGGTTGAATGTTGAAAGTTTATTTCGCGAAAGTATTTTCATAAAGACAGCTCGGCAACGGAAATGCGCTTAAGCTCGGCAGAAAGTTATCGACTTCGCGCGAGCGCTTCGGCGGATAAGACTTTTTTAAGAAGTTCGCGAGAATGAAATTTTAAGACGGCGCGGCGCGCACGAATGTTTTTCGCATTTCCACGTTTATCTTAACTTCCCTGGCGAGTTATCCTGTATATTTCACAGTTATGTGCTGTTATTTTTATGGCCGACCATGATTCATTGTTTCTTCTGCGGCTTCAAGCCGGGATTGCCGCCTTTAAACTACTTATTGCAACTCATAAGAGAGCTGAGTCTTTATTACGAACATTGCAGTCGTTGCCCCATAAAATACAAGAGTCAGCATTATTTTATCTGTTTACATTTATTCACGATTTTTATTCCTTTTAACACTCTTGCTCACGTTTAATGCGTTATTCGTGCGTCGAGTAACACTTTTTATCAAATATATATAACACTTCCGAAAATACCATTCTCCGCCAAGATTAAATCTGGAAAATTTGCGATACGTGACGTTATACTGTGCATTTTGACGCAAGGAACGTGTTAACAAGTTTCATGAAAGACCTATTTATGGAAGATCAAAGAGATGAAGTGTACATTATGCAACTCTCGTATCTCCACTCTCGTATCTCTATCTCTCTTTCTCTCTCCCTCCCTCCCTCTTTCCGTCCTGTTGAGCAGAAATGCCAACAGGCCCACTCAGGGGAGACTGGACCCGCATGCAAATTCAGGACGAATACATTCGGGGGCACCCGCCGTATCAGATCGATCGATCATGTGCTTCACGTGTAGAGGTATTCATTCGTCGAGATCGCTAGTCGGATTCATCTTATCGAGTACACTGCATCCGTCTCGGACGCACATTCCAATAAAGGCTGGCTTCATTCCAGCGATTTCTCCGTACGCCAATATAAGTCGTTCTCCGTTTCCTGCTACTCCTCTCTTCGTCCTAATTCACCACATTCGAACTCTTGGTGACCATTCCCGAGTTTCATACCAACGTGTTTATCCGGGCTCATGCTGCATCATTTAAGAATGAACGATATGAGGCTTTTAAATAGATGCGATTAAATTACACTCTGTTAAACTTGCTGTTTTTCACTGAACTTAATTAGCTCATGATTTAAATCACGTGCTGATTGCAAATAGGATACGTTTATGCTGCTATAAATTCATCGAGTAGCTAATTGAATAAAACACCGAATATGTAACAGCAACATTGATTCAGCAAATGATTATGATACGGTTCGTGTTATCGGGAATTATATTTGATATACTCTCGAAAATCAAATTCCTGCATCAGCAATTATTCTAATTAAAAGAAAGTTTGAATATACACAGATTAAATGAAAGAATAGTAATTCGTTTTTTATTATTATAAGAGACATTAAATTTTTAAATATGTGTTTTTTTATAAACAAAAACGGATTACTATTCTTTTCTTTATAATCTCTGTACATTTATATTTATACATACATATTCGATCGTTTTTAAATATTTTAAAACGTTCTCTTCCACCTTTTCTCTTTCTCTTTCTTTCTTTCTTATTCAAAAAATTGTATTATCAACTTTTTGCGTTGCCAGAACGAAGAAATGGCTCGCCCTGTCGAAGTCCAAGCGAAAAGGCTCGCCGACCGTACGCCCCCGCTTTGGAAAAGACACGACTGGGTGGATCCGGGGGCAGTGTGGATTCTCGATCGGGTAGTGCCAGTCCGGATCGGGGGGGATCGGCAAATCGGAGCGGGTTCTTACATCGCGGTGGCAGCGACCGTTCCAGCGTGGAGCGGCTCCGGATATCGACTAACCGCGATTCCATGCGATCTAGCAAGGAGATGAACGATCACGATCAGAAGGATGCCGATAAGGATCTGGTAGACGGCGACGCACGAGGCGACGAGGACAATGAACCCCCCGGACCGGCACCAGGCAGCAGGCCATCATCTCCGGCTAATTCTCTTGGTGCGTTAATAAAACTCGGCATTTAATTATGGAGATTATCGACCGATTCATCTTCCTTTTCCTCAATGTGGTCTTCTGAATAGAGAGGTGTCTCGACCATTCATAAAATACTAAAAATGCAGTGCTCTAAATTTTGGAGTTTATTATATAATTTGAATATATGGATTTTTATAAAAAATGCTCAGATATAAAATAAGTTATGAATTATTATTTGTGAATTAATAATGATATTGCCAAATCGTACAAATAATTGCATAAGAAGGTAGTAAAACAGTA